CTCTACAGCCTAAAGACTCTGCAATACTATAACTCTCAACCTTCAAGGTAGCTGGTAATTTACCATCTTGGGGGCATATATTTTCCCTTGAAGACTGAGATTAATCTTACATGGACTAAGTGAACCAGCAAGCATAATTTGATTTAGGTCTTAAGAACATAAGAACATAAGAGACGCCAATGTTGGATCAGGCCAAAGGCCCATCCAGTCCAACACTCTGTGTCACACAGTGGCCAGAAATACCAGTGCCATCAGGAGGTCCAGCAGTGGGGCCAGGACATTAGAAGCCCTCCCACTGTTGACCCCCCCCCAAGCACCAAGAAGACAGAGCATCACTTGCCCCAGAGCCCCTAGCTATACCTTGTGGCTAATAGCCACTGATGGACCTCTGCTCCATATGCTTATCTAATTCCCTTTTGAAGCCATCCATGCTTGTAGCACCCACCACTTCCTGTGGCAGTGAATTCCAAGTGTTAATCACTCTTTGGGTGAAGAAGTACTTCCTTTTATCCGTTCTAACCCGACCGCTCTGCAGTTTCATGGAGTGCCCACGAGTTCTTGTATTGTGAGAAAGGGAGAAAAGTACCTCTTTCTCTACCTGCTCTTTCCCATGCATAATCTTATAAACCTCGATCATGTCACCCCTCAGTCGTCTTTTCTCCAAGCTAAAGAGCCCTAAGCGCTTTAACCTTTCCTCATAGGGAAAGTGTTCCAACCCTTTTATCATTCGAGTTGCCCTTTTCTGCACTTTTTCCAAAGCTATAATATCCTTTTTAAGGTGTGGTGACCAGAACTGCACACAGTATTCCAAATGAGGTCTCACCATTGATTTATATAGGGGCATTATTATATTGGCTGATCTGTTTTCAATACCCTTCCTAATAATCCCCAGCATAGCATTGGCCTTCTTTATTGCAGTCACACACTGTCTCGACATTTTCAGTGAGTTATCCACTACAACTCCAAGATCTCTCTCTTGCTCAGTCTCTGCCAGTTCAGACCCCATCAATGTGTATTTATATTTAGGATTTTTGGCTCCAATGTGCATCACCTTGCACTTGGCCACATTGAACCCCATTTGCCATGTTGACGCCCACTCGCCCATCCTTGACAGATCCCCTTGGAGTGCCTCACAATCCTCACTGGTTTTCACCACCCTGAACAACTTTGTATCATCCGCAAATTTAGCCACTTCACTGCTTACTCCCATCTCCAAATCATTAATGAACAAGTTAAAAAGCAGTGGACCAAGTACTGATCCCTGCGGTACCCCACTGCTTACCACCCTCCACTGAGAAAATTGCCCACCTACACTCACTCTCTGTTTTCTATGAACTAGCCAGTTTTTGATCCATAAAAGGACTTGTCCTTCTATCCCATGATTTTTGAGCTTACTTAGGAGCCTTTGATGAGGAACTTTATCAAAAGCTTTCTGGAAGTCAAGGTAAATAATATCTATTGGATCCCCCTTGTCCACATGTTTGTTCACCCCCTCAAAGAACACTAACAGGTTAGTGAGACAAGATCTTCCCTTACAGAAACCGTGCTGAGTCTGCCTCAATAGGTTTTGTTCATCTATGTGCCTACTAATTCTTTCCTTAATAATGGTTTCCACCAATTTACCCGGTATCGACGTCAGACTGACTGGCCTGTAATTTCCCGGATCTCCTCTGGAACCCTTTTTAAAGATGGGAGTGACATTAGCTACCTTCCAATCCTCAGGAATGGAGGCAGATTTTAAGGAAAGATTACATATCTTTGTCAGGAGATCTACAAGTTCACATTTGAGTTCTTTCAGAACTCTCGGATGTATGCCATCTGGGCCTGGTGATTTTTCAGTTTTTAAGTTGTCTATCAGTTTTAGGACCTCCTCTCTCATCACCTCAATCTGACTCAGGTCTTCCAACACCCCTCCTGAAATCAGTGGTTCTGGAGTGGGCAAGCACTTCTCATCTTCCACAGTGAAGACGGAGGCAAAAAATGCATTTAGCTTCTCAGCCATTTCCCTATCATCCTTCAATACTCCTTTTACCCCTTGGTCGTCCAAGGGCCCCACTGCCTCCCTGGCTGGTTTCCTGTTTCTAATGTATTTGAAGAAAGTTTTATTGTTGGTTTTTACGTTTTTTGCTATATGCTCCTCATATTCCCTTTTTGCCTGCCTGACCTCAGACTTGCATTTTATTTGCCATAGCCTGTGTTCCGTTTTATCAGCCTCACTGTGACTAGCTTTCCACTGCTTAAAGGAATTCTTTTTACTTTTTACAGCCTCCATTACTCTGTTTGTTAACCATGCAGGCTTTTTCCTATACCTGTTTGTGCCTTTCCTAACCTGCGGAATATATATTTTTTGAGCTTCTAGGATCGTAGTTTTAAATAGATCCCAAGCTTCCCCAATTGTTTTGACCCTTTCTACTTTTCCTTTCAGTTTCCTCCCCACGTGTCCCCTCATATCAGAGAAATTACCCCTTTTAAAGTTAAAAATGGTTGTGTGAGTCTTTTTGGCCAATTCTCTATTTGTACAAATGATGAACTCAACAACATTATGATCACTGTTTCCAAGCGGTGCAATCACTTTTACATCTCTCACCAGGTCTTGAGTGTTACTTAGGACCAAATCAAGGATCGCCTCTCCCCTGGTAGGTTCCGTGACCATCTGCTCCATAGCACAGTCATTTAGAGTGTCTAGAAACTCAATCTCTTTTTCCCGACTAGAACACATATTGACCCAATCAATGTGTGGGTAGTTAAAATCACCTATTATTACACAGTGTTTTTGTCTAGTTGCTATCTTTAAGGCATTCATCATTTTATAATCCTCCTCTATCTTTTGATCTGGTGGGCGATAACAAACTCCCAGTGTTAAGTTTCCTTTTGGCCCCCCTATTTCAACCCATAGAACTTCCAGAAGCGAATCCAATTCACTTAGCCTCTCAATCTTTCTAGACTTTATACCCTCTCTGACATACAGAGCTACCCCACCTCCAACCCTTCCCCCCCTATCCTTCCGATATAATATATAACCGGGAATCACTGTGTCCCACTGATTTTCCTCATCCCACCAAGTTTCAGAAATACCCACAATGTCTATTTTTCCCTCCGACACCAAGCACTCCAACTCCCCGATTTTACCTCGGACACTTCTAGCATTTGTATAGAAACAGCTGTAATTTCCCTTACAAGTTAAGCCTGCATCCTTCCTCTTGCTATCTCGAGTCGTTGTCCGGCAGTCCATGTCACCAGCCATGGCCTCTGTGGACAATTTCAATCCACCTCCCTGTAGAAAAGCAACCGGTACCCCCTCACCTCTCTCAGATGAGCCAACCCGAACCAGAGACTTTTCATCTCCTGTCGGCTTTCCCCCAATATTCAGTTTAAAAGCTGCTCTGCCACCTTTTTGATTTTAAGTGCCAGCAGCCTGGTTCCTTCTCGGGACAAGTGGAGACCGTCTCGCCTGTACAGCTCCCTCTTGTTCCAAAAAGTATCCCAGTGCCTAACAAACCTGAACCCTTCCCCCCTACACCATCGTCTCATCCACGCATTGAGACTCCTGATCTCTGCCTGTCTCTCCGGCCCTGCGCGTGGAACAGGTAACACTTCTGAGAAGGCTACCTTGGAGGTCCTGGACCTAAGTTTCCTGCCCAGCAGCCTAAATTTCTCCTCCAGGACCTCACGACTGCATTTCCCCACATCGTTGGTGCCGACATGCACCACGACCACTGGCTCCTCCCCAGCACTATCTACCAGCCTATCTAAAACACGCGTAATGTCCGCTACCTTCGCACCAGGCAGGCAAGTCACCATACGGTCAGTACGCGTTCGCCACCCAGCTGTCTACCTGCCTAAGGATCGAATCACCCACTACCAAGAGCCCCCCTCCCACCCTGCTCAGGGATGGTTCCTTGGTGCAAAAGGAGAGCCGCTCACCAGCTGGGGAAGAGGTCCCTTCTGAGGGCACATTCCCCTTATCCTCAGCATGGTGCCCTGTTTCCCCTAGACCCTCATGCTCCCTGACAGCAGCGGGGCTGCCAGATCCAGAGTGGGACGTAGCTAACAAGTCCCCGAGAGTCTTTTCTGTGCGCCTAGCTGACTGTCTCTGCTTCTCCAGGTCAGCCACCTTGGCCTCAAGGGAGCACACACGTTCCCTGAGAACCAGGAGCTCCTTGCACCGAGGACACACCCAAGACTTCTGCCCAGTGGGCAGATAGTCATACATGTGACACTCCGTGCAAAACACTGGATAGCCCCCAACCCCCTGCTGTCTTTCCAAACTTCACTTGCAATCAGAAAATCACCACTCATAAGAACAAAAAGGTGTTATGGGCTATATAGTAGAAGAAAGGCCACAGAGGAGAGCTTGAAAAGCTGTAGGTTCAGCTCTTTCAGTTTCTAACTAAAAAAAAAATCAGTAGTTCCCAAACCAGTTTTTTCCTTCAGTCTTCATTTTAAAAAAGATTATAGTTCTCAAAAAAAGAAAGAAACACCATGTACCCCTGTAGCAAACATGGGTCCATGAACCACAGATATGCCTGTCTTTGACCAAAAGTCAGAAGTTCCAGGTTTCCATGTCAGAAAAGTTTTACACAATGCTAAGTCTGGAATTCCTGTTTAGCCCACAAGATCTGAACTCATACTTTATCTGGAGTCAGGGTTTGCTAAAGAGAGATTGTTATAGCTGGTCTTGCAGACGTTTTTGTTGTGAAGAAACTAAAAATTATTCCTTGAGTTATATACTGAATAAAAGACTCAAAGAATGCAAGCACATCACTTTCAGACCTATTTGAACATAATTAAAAAATTAACCACACGATTCAGAAAAAAAACAAGAACCCAGATAAAGAGAAATATGCTCCAAAACCCCACTTAAATTAATTTTTACTACATCAGTTATTTTGTTTTCTGGGCATACACTAATGGAACTGTTCCATACAAAAATATTCCATGCAAAATAATGGCTAAATATGTACCTACAGCAAGTAAATATATTAATGTTAAATACTCACATAAGGAGAATAGAGCTCCCCTGTATCAGTAATGCCTCCAGCCATGTTGAAAGGGACAGACGGACCTCAGAGGGAAAGTCAGCCCTTTTCTCTTTTTTTTGCCACGGCTATCCTGGAAGAAACATCACATGTGTCTATTGGTGAAGTAAAGCAGTATAGCAGTATAATGTTGCATCAGCCTTCTTTGGGATGAAAAGTAAAGAGAGACTTTGATCTCACCTAGTATTTGCACTTTAACCTAAAAATTTTCACACATATGACAACTTATACAATTCCCACTAAACACCACAGCCCTTTCTAGAGAACATAATCATGGCAAAAGACGAAACAATACTAATTTTTTCCATCACTCCAGAAATGCAAGATCTAAGCAGACAACTCAATCAAAGTACATGCTTGAAATAGTTTATATAAAATATAAAATTCACATTCTCAGTGCCACACAAGTGTGTACACCAGCATGATGTAGCGGTTAGAGCATCAGAATAGAATTTAAGAGGCCCAGGTTCAAATCCCCACTCTGCCATGAAAGTTTGCTGGGTGGCCTTGGGCCTAACCCTACCCCACAGGACTGTTGTGAAGATAAAACAGAGAGGAGGAGGATGTAAGCCACTTTGGACCTCCACTGGAGAGAAAGGTGGGGTACGAATGAAGTACACAAGTTGCTAATATAGTTAAAAATATGTTTTCCTGCAACTAATATTGCCTTTATATAAACCAGAAGAATAACCTTTAGACATGGAGACCACAAGCCTTTCATAATGCCAACTTTGCTTGGCTCCCTCTGTATTTATTTACTTAATTTATAGACCACCTTTCTTGCTGATGAATGATCACAGGAAATTACAAGTAAAAACAATGCCTTAACAATACAATCCTAAACAGAGTTACACCTTTCTAAGCCTGTTAAAGTCACTGGCCTTAGAAGGGTGGTACTTTACTTGAGACTGGATTATAAACATAGTGTAAAACTAACAACCAACAAAGTGGCAGAACACTGCACTAAACCAGGATGACAAGACTGGAGAATAATGCAAACAAACACAGCATAGTATAGGCTGTACTTTCAATTCCACAAACACATGCAAGAGCACTAAACAAAATCACATATTTGAAGGCTAAGGCAGCAACCCTATGTACTTATTTGGAAGTGCAACTGAACAAAATAGAACTTACTTCAGAGTAAACATGCACAAGGATCAGACTGTTAAGTGTTCAGAACTTTCCAAAAGGAAGGGTTGGTTGTTACTGAGCAAAATAACGTTTCACCATGAGCCAATGTTTACCCTGAAAAATAAAATAATTTTTTTTAAAATAATAAATATAAATCACATAAAGTTATAAGTAACCATTTGCATATATTTATTGTTTAGATCCTGCTTTTCTCCCCAGCTGAGACTCAAAGTGGTTTCTAGATCATCATTGTTCTCACCTCCATTTTTTTCACAACAGCCCTGTGAAGTAGGCCAGGCTGAGAGTTTGTGACAGGCCCAAGGTCACCCAGTGAGCTTCCATGATAGAAGTGGAGATTCAAACCCGGGTGGCCCAGGATCCTAGTTTGCCACTCTATCTATACTTTTTTACAGTTATTAAAATGTGGAATTCTCTGCCAGAGGATGTAGTGATGGCCACAAAGAGGACTAGATAAATTCATGGAGGGCTAACAGTGGCTAACAGTGGCTACTAGTCATGGTGCCTAAGAAGAACTTGCACATTCAGAGGCACTAAACCTCTAAATCCCAGAGCTAGCATGCAACATCAGGAGAAGGTCTCGGCCTCCATACCCTGTTGTTGACCCTCCAAAGGAACTGGTTGGCCACTGTGTGAGACAGGATGCTAGGCTAGATGGACCACTAGTCTGATCCAACAGGGATTTTCTTATGTTCTCATCCACTACACCACAATGGTGGTTTTAGATCAAGATGGGTAGCCGTGTTAGTCTGTCTGTAGCAGTAGAAAAAAGCGAGAGTCCAGTAGCACCTTAAAGGCTACCAAAAAGAAGTGAGCAGTGACTCACGAAAGCTCATACCCTGCCACAAATTTTGTTAGTCTGTAAGGTGCTACTGGACTCTTGCTCTTCTCTGCTACAATGGTGGTGTGCACGTGTTCTATGTTGTGCACTGATTGATCATGTTGTGCACTATGTTGTGCACTGGACTTATCAAGCTCTTCATAGTTAAGCCATGCACAATTTCTCACTTCTCCGCTTAGATTACATTTCTGCTTAGATCAGCTTAGAAACCCTACAATTGCCCTCTGCCTTGTGGTGAGCGTCCCACTGCTAAGGTTAGAAATTATCTTAACGATACCTGTACCATCTGGGCTCATTCCTGGGGGCGTCTGTTCGTCTGCCTCCCTAGATTTCCACGAAGCTCCCTCGCCTACAGCTTTCCTCCGCTCACCACCACGCTGATCTCCCAAGCCACTCACGGCACCCAGCCCTGTGGCCTCACCACACAAAGCTTTTAGCAGCAGCTGCCACCTCACTTTCCAGCAACGACTCGCCCAACTCTAAACCGGCTCCTCTCATACCGCGCTGAGGAAGCTGAGAAAGAAACACTCCCAGAGCGCATGCGTACAACCGTAGTCATCAAACCCCTACCAAAGACCGCAGCCGCCTTCCGTATGCGTGACTAGAACTGTCAAGCCGCTTTCTACGCCGATTGGTTTTTCTCTACGGGCGCACGACAGAGGGGAAGTGAGAAATGCGACAGGTTTGACACACGGCGGCCGCCGTAGCGGAATGGGTGCGGTGAGGAGCTTGCGAACTGCGCATGAGTGAACTGCTGTGTTGGAGGCTGTTTGGGACAGCAGTCGGTGCTGGAGGGAGTGAGAGACAAGAGGTGTGCCTTCCGCAGGGAAAAGACGCTTTGTGGCTTCTGTCCGGCACCCCTCAGTAATGCTGAGCCTTTAAACCTAAGTATGGTTATTAGGAAGTAGGACTTACTGAAGTTTAATATTGGGTTTAACCCGTTTAAGATTGGGTTGAAGCGAAGCTATTTTTCTCCTGTCCATCCTCTCAGGGCGGCTATATTACTTCCCCTCCTGCATCTCCACTTCTCAATGCACCAACGTGTGGTTACACCCTTTCTTCGGGTGTAAATCGTAGATCTGTTATGCAGTAACCGTCTTGCTTGCCTTCAAGGAGCTGTGTGCCTTTTCACTGTCTTAATCTTTAGACGAATTATAAAGCTCTCAGTCCGTCTTTAGATTTCGAAGCGGGTTTATGCTCTCTGTTGTGAGGGGGGGATCTGCTTAATTCATGAGGAAAAGTAAGAAAGGGTTTGCATTTTTAACCTTGGGCTCTGAATAGCAGCAGTACAATCCTAAACAGGGTCACACCCTTCTAAATTAATTTAAGTCAATGGGATTAGATAGGTGTAACTCTTTAGAACTATACTGTAAGTAGAGTACTGCTTGTCTTGTATGTGACCCAACCAAACACATACATACCATACCATAATATAAGCTAAAACTATTAAACATATGACTTTAACTATGATTTCAGCCACAGGATTGCCCAGGCCCTATATTTCTGTCCCTAGCATGGGGCCAGCAAATAAAGATGTAAAATTTCCAGAAAATTTTGAAGCATGGAAAAAAACCCAGTTTTTTTCAGGCCGCGGGGAAACGGAAATTTTCAGAAAAATTGAAAAAAATGCTACATTAGCACTTCTTTTTTCTTTTTCAGGCTGAAAGTCATTCTGTTACTTTAGGAACATAAAATATGACTATGGACAATTTTACTTGGTATGAAATTATCACAACTAGCTGAGCTCTGAGCTCTGAGCTCTGAGCAGGAGCAGGAGAGAGAGCTGTGAGAGAGGAAGCACCTTGCCAGAGGCAGAGGAGACCAGCTGAGCTCTGAGCAGGAGCAGGAGAGAGAGCTGTGAGAGAGGTGAGTGGGTTTCTTTTACTTGCTTTCAGCTGAGAGAATTCAGCTAAGGATATTTTGTGGGAAAACTGTGTTTAGCAGTGTGTGGTTTCTTTTACTTGCTTTCAGCTGAGAGAATTCAGCTAAGGATATTTTGTGGGAAAACTGTGTTTAGCAGTGTGTGGAAGCACTTAGAGTTCTTGCAGAGTCCTGGCTGATTGAGTGTGGGAGAGGAACGGGCACTGTTTGACTGGGATTGCCTGTAATTGAGAGGAAGTGGAAGGGGCATTGTTTTGCCTGTGATTGAGTGCCTGGGTGAATTTGAATTTGAATAGCTGCTGCCTGACCTCTGCTGGGGGAGGCCTCTATTTAAGGAAACACCTTGGCAGAGGCACGAGCCTCTGGCACGAGCCGAAGGGTGAGCTAAAGGGCTCTTTGCCTGTGGCTCTTAGCCTAGGGACTCTTAGACTAGGGGCGCTGTAAGAAGCCCAAAAAGAGCCAGAAAGACAAGGCCCTAGGCTCTTTGTCTTTCCCGTAAAATAATTTGACTTGATAACAAAACCCACATAAATACCAAGGGTTTAAAAGGGGGATTATATTTATTTATTTTAAAAGAATTATGAAGCCAGAATGCCAGCAGGGGGTTGGGGGCTATCCAGTGTTTTGCACGGAGTGTCACATGTATGACTATCTGCCCACTGGGCAGAAGTCTTGGGTGTGTCCTCGGTGCAAGGAGCTCCTGGTTCTCAGGGAACGTGTGTGCTCCCTTGAGGCCAAGGTGGCTGACCTGGAGAAGCAGAGACAGTCAGCTAGGCACACAGAAAAGACTCTCGGGGACTTGTTAGCTTCGTCCCACTCTGGATCTGGCAGCCCCGCTGCTGTCAGGGAGCATGAGGGTCTAGGGGAAACAGGGCACCATGCTGAGGATAAGGGGAATGTGCCCTCAGAAGGGACCTCTTCCCCAGCTGGTGAGCGGCTCTCCTTTTGCACCAAGGAACCATCCCTGAGCAGGGTGGGAGGGGGGCTCTTGGTAGTGGGTGATTCGATCCTTAGGCAGGTAGACAGCTGGGTGGCGAACCCGCGTACTGACCGTATGGTGACTTGCCTGCCTGGTGCGAAGGTAGCGGACATTACGCGTGTTTTAGATAGGCTGGTAGATAGTGCTGGGGAGGAGCCAGTGGTCGTGGTGCATGTCGGCACCAACGATGTGGGGAAATGCAGTCGTGAGGTCCTGGAGGAGAAATTTAGGCTGCTGGGCAGGAAACTTAGGTCCAGGACCTCCAAGGTAGCCTTCTCAGAAGTGTTACCTGTTCCACGCGCAGGGCCGGAGAGACAGGCAGAGATCAGGAGTCTCAATGCGTGGATGAGACGATGGTGTAGGGGGGAAGGGTTCAGGTTTGTTAGGCACTGGGATACTTTTTGGAACAAGAGGGAGCTGTACAGGCGAGACGGTCTCCACTTGTCCCGAGAAGGAACCAGGCTGCTGGCACTTAAAATCAAAAAGGTGGCAGAGCAGCTTTTAAACTGAATATTGGGGGAAAGCCGACAGGAGATGAAAAGTCTCTGGTTCGGGTTGGCTCATCTGAGAGAGGTGAGGGGGTACCGGTTGCTTTTCTACAGGGAGGTGGATTGAAATTGTCCACAGAGGCCATGGCTGGTGACATGGACTGCCGGACAACGACTCGAGATAGCAAGAGGAAGGATGCAGGCTTAACTTGTAAGGGAAATTACAGCTGTTTCTATACAAATGCTAGAAGTGTCCGAGGTAAAATCGGGGAGTTGGAGTGCTTGGTGTCGGAGGGAAAAATAGACATTGTGGGTATTTCTGAAACTTGGTGGGATGAGGAAAATCAGTGGGACACAGTGATTCCCGGTTATATATTATATCGGAAGGATAGGGGGGGAAGGGTTGGAGGTGGGGTAGCTCTGTATGTCAGAGAGGGTATAAAGTCTAGAAAGATTGAGAGGCTAAGTGAATTGGATTCGCTTCTGGAAGTTCTATGGGTTGAAATAGGGGGGCCAAAAGGAAACTTAACACTGGGAGTTTGTTATCGCCCACCAGATCAAAAGATAGAGGAGGATTATAAAATGATGAATGCCTTAAAGATAGCAACTAGACAAAAACACTGTGTAATAATAGGTGATTTTAACTACCCACACATTGATTGGGTCAATATGTGTTCTAGTCGGGAAAAAGAGATTGAGTTTCTAGACACTCTAAATGACTGTGCTATGGAGCAGATGGTCACGGAACCTACCAGGGGAGAGGCGATCCTTGATTTGGTCCTAAGTAACACTCAAGACCTGGTGAGAGATGTAAAAGTGATTGCACCGCTTGGAAACAGTGATCATAATGTTGTTGAGTTCATCATTTGTACAAATAGAGAATTGGCCAAAAAGACTCACACAACCATTTTTAACTTTAAAAGGGGTAATTTCTCTGATATGAGGGGACACGTGGGGAGGAAACTGAAAGGAAAAGTAGAAAGGGTCAAAACAATTGGGGAAGCTTGGGATCTATTTAAAACTACGATCCTAGAAGCTCAAAAAATATATATTCCGCAGGTTAGGAAAGGCACAAACAGGTATAGGAAAAAGCCTGCATGGTTAACAAACAGAGTAATGGAGGCTGTAAAAAGTAAAAAGAATTCCTTTAAGCAGTGGAAAGCTAGTCACAGTGAGGCTGATAAAACGGAACACAGGCTATGGCAAATAAAATGCAAGTCTGAGGTCAGGCAGGCAAAAAGGGAATATGAGGAGCATATAGCAAAAAACGTAAAAACCAACAATAAAACTTTCTTCAAATACATTAGAAACAGGAAACCAGCCAGGGAGGCAGTGGGGCCCTTGGACGACCAAGGGGTAAAAGGAGTATTGAAGGATGATAGGGAAATGGCTGAGAAGCTAAATGCATTTTTTGCCTCCGTCTTCACTGTGGAAGATGAGAAGTGCTTGCCCACTCCAGAACCACTGATTTCAGGAGGGGTGTTGGAAGACCTGAGTCAGATTGAGGTGATGAGAGAGGAGGTCCTAAAACTGATAGACAACTTAAAAACTGAAAAATCACCAGGCCCAGATGGCATACATCCGAGAGTTCTGAAAGAACTCAAATGTGAACTTGTAGATCTCCTGACAAAGATATGTAATCTTTCCTTAAAATCTGCCTCCATTCCTGAGGATTGGAAGGTAGCTAATGTCACTCCCATCTTTAAAAAGGGTTCCAGAGGAGATCCGGGAAATTACAGGCCAGTCAGTCTGACGTCGATACCGGGTAAATTGGTGGAAACCATTATTAAGGAAAGAATTAGTAGGCACATAGATGAACAAAACCTATTGAGGCAGACTCAGCACGGTTTCTGTAAGGGAAGATCTTGTCTCACTAACCTGTTAGTGTTCTTTGAGGGGGTGAACAAACATGTGGACAAGGGGGATCCAATAGATATTATTTACCTTGACTTCCAGAAAGCTTTTGATAAAGTTCCTCATCAAAGGCTCCTAAGTAAGCTCAAAAATCATGGGATAGAAGGACAAGTCCTTTTATGGATCAAAAACTGGCTAGTTCATAGAAAACAGAGAGTGAGTGTAGGTGGGCAATTTTCTCAGTGGAGGGTGGTAAGCAGTGGGGTACCGCAGGGATCAGTACTTGGTCCACTGCTTTTTAACTTGTTCATTAATGATTTGGAGATGGGAGTAAGCAGTGAAGTGGCTAAATTTGCGGATGATACAAAGTTGTTCAGGGTGGTGAAAACCAGTGAGGATTGTGAGGCACTCCAAGGGGATCTGTCAAGGATGGGCGAGTGGGCGTCAACATGGCAAATGGGGTTCAATGTGGCCAAGTGCAAGGTGATGCACATTGGAGCCAAAAATCCTAAATATAAATACACATTGATGGGGTCTGAACTGGCAGAGACTGAGCAAGAGAGAGATCTTGGAGTTGTAGTGGATAACTCACTGAAAATGTCGAGACAGTGTGTGACTGCAATAAAGAAGGCCAATGCTATGCTGGGGATTATTAGGAAGGGTATTGAAAACAGATCAGCCAATATAATAATGCCCCTATATAAATCAATGGTGAGACCTCATTTGGAATACTGTGTGCAGTTCTGGTCACCACACCTTAAAAAGGATATTATAGCTTTGGAAAAAGTGCAGAAAAGGGCAACTCGAATGATAAAAGGGTTGGAACACTTTCCCTATGAGGAAAGGTTAAAGCGCTTAGGGCTCTTTAGCTTGGAGAAAAGACGACTGAGGGGTGACATGATCGAGGTTTATAAGATTATGCATGGGAAAGAGCAGGTAGAGAAAGAGGTACTTTTCTCCCTTTCTCACAATACAAGAACTCGTGGGCACTCCATGAAACTGCAGAGCGGTCGGGTTAGAACGGATAAAAGGAAGTACTTCTTCACCCAAAGAGTGATTAACACTTGGAATTCACTGCCACAGGAAGTGGTGGGTGCTACAAGCATGGACGGCTTCAAAAGGGAATTAGATAAGCATATGGAGCAGAGGTCCATCAGTGGCTATTAGCCACAAGGTATAGCTAGGGGCTCTGGGGCAAGTGATGCTCTGTCTTCTTGGTGCTTGGGGGGGCGTCAACAGTGGGAGGGCTTCTAATGTCCTGGCCCCACTGCTGGACCTCCTGATGGCACTGGTATTTCTGGCCACTGTGTGACACAGAGTGTTGGACTGGATGGGCCTTTGGCCTGATCCAACATTGGCGTCTCTTATGTTCTTATGTTCTTATGTTCTTATATTAAATTATTTACACAAAGGTTATAAAGATAAACTAATGTAGCTAAATGATTCAGTTTTCTGGAATCAGATAAATGAAAACTCTTACCTTTTTAAATATACTTTCAGGTCCTTTTTGTTGCTCTGTAGTTTCTTCCAATGCTTTGAGGCCTAGTAAAACCTGAGTGCCAGTATACCCACCCACGTGCAAAAACAAAACTGAAAACTTTTTCTTTTCTTGTGACGATAGCACCTCCTAAAGGAAGAAATGCATCTTGGTCTTGCATTGGAGAGTTCAGTTTGTAACCGAGGACTTGCTTGTCCTCAGTGTGCAGAAATTAGATTAATCTGATACCATAAATATTTTTTAGAAATGATTTGGAAAATATTTGAACACCTTGTCTTAGAATATTTTATTCATCATGTAAAAATAAAACGTTCCATAATAATTTCTTTCTTTTCTTTTTTCAATTATTCCAATTTTTCAGAAAAAAAACCAAAAAAGGCTTCAGGGAAAAAACAGTTTTTTCCTGAATTTTTCCATTTTTTTTCCAGGCCTTCACATCTCTACCTGCACACCCATCCTCCAATCAGCCAGAAAAGCGGGGTAGAAATTTAATCAATCAATCACTCTTGTGCTGGATGTTTCAAGGTGGGAACCACCTGTCAGCAACAAGCCTCACTGGTCAAGGGCTTTGCCCACTTTCCTGAAACATGTTGTGGGTGCCACATTGGGGAATAGTGCTCAGAAAAATCACAGATTTTATGTCAAAGAGCCACATGTGGCTTTTGAGCCACTGAGTATCACTGGAATAGAGTATGAAAATGTGTTGCTTTGTTTCTTTGAAAAATCATAAGCTAGAGGATGCCAGATGAAATTTAATAGACATTTTTAAAAATGAGAGTTCACTTTTGTGCAGAACTTACTTCCTCGGGATATTGTGACTGACAATGTAGTTGCGTTGAAAACAGACAGCTTAGAAAGTAATACCCTTAGTCTGAATACGTGTTAAAGATGTACTCCTGCAGTTACTATTTGAAGTAGCCAGTGTTTAACCAAAGTGAATGTGGAATACCAAACTGTATGGCTCATAGCCTGTCCTCACTTGTAGTTTCATGACTCTAACACTGTATTTGTTCATTCTCTGTATCTGTGCTCTAGAGAAATAAAGAGCAAAGGAAAAGTGTACAATACATATCTGAAGGGTTTTTTAAAAAAGTTTTGCATTAGTTCTACTGCCTTCAGATGTGATCTATGTTTATGTTGTCAAATAATGTTTTCCACTAATGTATCCTGTTGTTTCAGGCTTGCGGCTATGAGGATTAACCAAAATACTGTATTACGGGGGAAGAGAGTGGCTTTGGTACCGTACACGTCTGCTCATGTACCAAGGTAGGAAACAGATTTTCTCTCCCCATCACAAAAAAAATAGTCGTGTGACTTAGCAGGTTAAATGTTCTTTCTCAATTTTAAACGTTCGGGGGGGAAAGAAATATTTATAATATTTCATTTCTATTGAGAAAAGAACATATAGGGACATGTTCTTACCCGCCAGGCTCAGGGTACCTGCAGCTGCCCAGATTGAGCTACTTCATTGAATTAATGGGATATGTATATAGTTGTAGAATTTGAAATAATAGTTTTCCACATATAGTATATAGAAAGTAGGTATTGTTTCCAGTTAATTCTCCGTATTAAAATGAGTGAATAACTCCATAATATGTCCAGCTCTGAAACCTTCAGAGATAGACAACATCACAGTATAAGAGAGAAGGGAAAATATATTAGATTACTCATAATATATTTGATTACTCATAAGCAGTAAAGCAGAGGGTTCTGGCAATGATGGAGAAGTGCCCTACAGCCTTGTTAATGGCTGTCGGAAACTGGAATGGGAAGGGTACTGTAACGATTCCATGTTTTACTGTGTGTGTGTTTAAAAGTTTGGTTGGCATAGCTGTGTGAGGAATCTAGAGTGCTGGACAAGCAAGGGATATGATTGGTGAGTGACAGAGAGGGGGAGGGGTTTTTGGAATGGATGCTGTGTGGATGATTGGAATGTCTATCTGGTGTGTCTGTTAGGCATGCCAGTTGAGTAAAACAGTTAGTCAGAGCAGAGTGTGCTGTGTAAAAGCAGTTGATATGAGTTTTGTCCTGAGGACTCTGTGTGAGAAGTTTTCCTGTGTGAAATATAAGAGTAAAGTCTCTGTGTTAAGCAGACGGTTAAGTTCTGTGTTATAAGAGTTACAATTGAAAGCTGAGAATCTAAGAAAAAGTACAGTGAAAAGTGTTACAAAGTTGCTTTAACCTCCCTGTCAGTAAAGGAGAAGCTGGTGAGAGACACCAAGCATTTGTTCAAATCCTTCCCAGTACGGTTTACATTGTTTACCCTCGTATTTATGTTTTCTTTAAATAAATCCTAATTCCTTCAAGTATACCAGCAGCAAATAATCCTTCCTCAGACCACATAGACCTTCATGAATGCCTAAGACCCATGGTACACCTACCCTGTGGAAAATATTATCGGAAAAGGTTTGGGAAAACCTAGATTTCCCTGGTGGCAGCCAGAAAACCCTACAGAGTAAAACTGAAAGAACATTTTAAAGTAAAACTAGACCTCCCCAAATAAGAGGTCGTCATCACAGGCACCTTCTGCTGAAGCATGATAAAGCAGTGCCTGACTGCTTCTTACTCTCTGTCCCTATTTCAGTGTCATTTGTATTGATTTTTGATCCTTTGGAAACAGCAATTTTGGCTAAAAAGTGAGATAAAAACATAACATAAAATGCTGGGAGCTGACTTTTATACAAAGATAGATATGTACATTGCAAGGTATCAGTATGCTTCTATCATTTGTTTCATGCCTCTGTAATATTTCTAGATAAAGTGAATCCTGGCTTACTTATTTGGGAAATGGAGCAAGGTTTATAGTCATTGTCTGATCCTTACAGACTGATATTTATATGTCTTCATACATGAGTTGAAGATAGGTGAGTTCTCCAGCTTACTGCCAGGATATATAGTGTGATGATCTGAAGAGGGTATGTTTCCTTTCTTGCTTTTCTCACTAGATACCATGAGTGGATGAAATCAGAAGAGCTACAGCGCCTGACTGCATCTGAGCCACTAAGCCTGGAACAGGAATACGAGATGCAGTGCAACTGGCAAGAAGATACAGACAGTGAGGCTTCTGAATATTTGCCAGGGCTTGAGAATGGAGTATTGAGCCATCTACATTGTTAAGTGCTACTTAGGTTGTATCTGAGAACCATACATAACAAATGTATGTGATCAGGGTGCCACCAAGTGATTGTAACTGATATTTTCATGTGAAAGTTTAGCAGCTTCTCAGCACAATGTGGTGATACCCAGTTTTCCTGTTTGGATTGTGTGAACATTGCTTTACCCTTAGGAATTGACTATGGACAAAACTATGCACCCAGAACACCCAGACATGTCAAACACTGGTCAGTTGATTGGTCAAGTATTAGGTTGACTGCCTATCATCTAACCACAGAAGAATTCCAAAAAGCCAAGAACGCTACCCAGTCTGTAGCAGCTTCTTTCTTTTTTCCTGCAGTGGTTAAGTACAGCCCTAGCAGCCCAGCAAACCCTCTACTTATTTCCTTCTGTAACCACAGACAACTGTGAATGGGACCAGAGTTATTTAAAAGTTACTCATTTCAAAATAGAAGTTAACTATTTGCTGTTGTAAGTAACATAACGATGAGACTTACTGATTACTGAAATATTGTTTTCATTGTTGTTGTTTTAGAAATACTGTACTAAAATGCCCAACCTCAATCTGCAATAAGATAACTTTCTCACAATCACTTTTGGGTGATCTAGACGTTTTGCTCCACAGTGTAAAATCCTTTTTGCGTATAGTTGTAGCAGAGAGACGCAATTGATTCTTAGCTTCTGCATCCCTATGCTACTGTGTTTAAGGTATAGATTTTTTGGGGGGGGGAATCCAGTGAGTATTAGATGATTTTATTTTATGGCTCTGCATTCAGGCCTGCATCTTCATAGTATTCCTGCTAGCCCGTAGTAGTCTATGTGGGCATGAGTTCCCCTTGTAATCTTAAAAGATTTGGTTCCTTTGGCTGATAGCAGGTGCAGCTGGTTGCTTGGTACCAGTTGTATTCACGGATCTACAATTCTGGTTTGGCTTATTAGCCTGTTTATTTGTGATTGCCACTCACCCCATTCCTTGCATGTCCTAGAAAACTTGGGGTAGAGGTTTGTCTCCATGCTTGAATCTGAAGTGAGTAAGTCAGTTCTCTGCCTCTTTTTGAAGCCCTGCTCTAAGCAAGATGAGACCCAACCCATCCAAAATTCTTTCCCCTCCAAAAAAGGATTCTGAGGAAGTGTGAGGTCTCTCGTATCACATAGTTGGATCTGCTGTTTTATTTTCCCAGAATGCACATTTATAATACTTGATACAGAGAAGTGGTCCAGGCAGTCAGCCACAGAGGAAGACTGTATGGTGGGAGATGTAAATTTGTTCCTCACTGATTCTGAAGATCCAACACTGGGAGAGATTGAAGTCATGATTGGAGGTAAACTAGTACTTCAGTGATTTGTTCCTCCTTCTGCCATCTAATGCTAAGGCGTTCAGAAAAGGGTTTCAAAAATCACCTGTTTTAATCATCAGGAACAGGCAGGTATGGCTGAAGCCAGCCAAAATACAAGTGGGTTGTGTGCAGGCATGTTTGTGGCACTGCAGTTTCAACATGGCATACTGTTAAACTCCTGGTCATGAGACTCCCAACAACACTCTCTTTGGCAGTGATTTGTTTATTGAGATCTCAGCATGATCCAGATTAGAGCAGTACTGTGTCAGAACTGAGGTTTTTGGCAGTAACCTCTACAGATATAGGCAATTCGAATATAGGGTGTGTGTTCCCCCCCCCCCCCGGGCTTATCCAGTCGTTTCACACAGCCATCCCGCCTAAGCCGTTAGCATCTACACCCACCCATAAGTTCCAGTTGTGTTATCTAAGATAGCAAGGTTTGCACAGAGTTTGCTTCAAGGTCATCTCCGTGGAGAGGCATGTCTTGGGAAAAGTTACAATAGCTACTACAAAGGTGCCACACTCATACCCGCACGCACGCACACACACCCTCAGGAATTCCCCTTTCCCCCATAACTATGGCAAATGATGCAGAGTTTGATGCTGAGTTTGACACATACAAACCATCCTTAGGTGCTTAGTGCAGACTTCTTCCCAGTGTCCAGCAGTTATCAGATTTTATATTCGTCTTCCTTAAGTTTTCAAAAGCTAAGCATAGAGCATGAGCAGCTGATGTACTATCTCACGATCATTAGAGGGCTGAGATCAAACCTTTCCTGAGCTGTAAAGCTCAGTCACTCACACTCTACCTAGCCTACCTCAGAGGGCTGCTGAGGATACAATGGGAGGGGGCAGAGGACAATGTATACCCTTGAGTTCCCTGAAAGAAGAGAGAGATAAAATTGTTTTTTTTTTTTGGTAAACAAATTTTATTTTTCTCAGGAATACAACATGTAAGATTAAATCATTTCATTCTATCAATTGTCTACCCCATTCCCAGTTCCTCCCCTCCCTCCAATGGCTTCCCACAATGCTTCCACCCCTGCACCAAATTACTTCATATCATCAACAATATCAGTTTCTTATCATTACAATCTAAAGATAACATCATTTGACTTAATATTGATCTAAACATATTAAGTTTTGTTTCACATCCCAGTTCTTTTCCAGATATATTTTAAAGTCACTCCATTCTTGAAAAAACACGTCGTCTTCTTTGTTATTCAACTTCTTTGTAATTTTTTCCATCTCTGCCATGAACAGAACTTTATGTATCCAGTCTCTTAAATAGGTCTGTGCCTCAAAACATTTCCATTCTGTAAAAAGGTGCACAAGAAGCGGTTAATTTTTAACCCCAGCCGCCCAGTCTCCAGCTTGGTAAGCGCAAAACTGCCGCAGCACCTTCTGGCTAGACGGAACAGGAACACACAAAGGTCAAACGCCAGCTTCCCCTCGAGAGCCAGCTCTCCTTTACCGTAAATCATTGCGAGGGTGGAGGAATACGGCAGTGCCTGGGCTTGCCGATAAATTCCACCTTCGTGGGACTAGAACATATTTATATGCTGGAGATACCGCAGGCTGAGTTCTTAATCATGTACAGGACAGGGAACTCGGCCTGTTTGTTTGCCGAGTCCCATGTGCTAACAATGGGAATCACGCAACACATGAATGATTGGGTAGGACCCTTCCCCTGCCCTGTCTTTTTATCCACAGTTAAACTGACACTATGTCCATTTTCTGCAACACAGACAACTGCTCGGGGCAACTGTCCCCTCACTGTACCCACTATTCTCACAGAACCAGTATGGACATCAGAGGAAGGCAGCGGCCTCTATGCCCGGTCGTTGGGTATCCAGAGGAACTGGTTGGCCACAGTGTGAGACAGGATATTAGACTGGATGGACTATTGGACTTCTGGTCTGATCCAGCAGGGCTCTTCAACAGTGTTCCCTCTAAGCTGAGTTAGTGTGAGCTAGCTCACAGGTTTTTTAGCCTCCAGATCACATATTTTTGTCTTAGCTCAGAAGGGATGGCTCCAGAGCAAACTAATTTATGCAGTAGCCAAAGCACTCACTCACAACTTGAATGCCAGAAGCTCACAAAGTAGAATTCTTGCTCATAAGACTCCACAGCTTAGAGGGAGCATTGCCCTTCATATGTTCTTACGTTCTCTATTTTCAGTCTACCTCACTCCCCCGGCCACAAGCACCTGGCTGGATACTCCTTATTTGTTAAGAACCTTTATAAGAACATTTTTTGTTGTTGTTGTTCAGTCGCACAGTCGAGTCCGACTCTTTGCGACCCCATGGACCAGATCACGCCAGGCCTTCCTTTTACAAATAAGCTTCGTCTTATTCTTATTGACATAAAATCCGGCCAATTCTCCAAAGTCCTTTATTTTTTGGAATAGTAACGGTAATTTGTCTGTCGGGTTTTGCACAATGAACATTACATCATCAGCAAATGCTCGATATTTGTATTTAAGTCTTTTGTGTGTCAGTCCCGTTATCTCTTGATCTTGCTGTATTTTTTGTAGAAGTATCTCCAACACCCAGATAAATAATAACGGTGATAGGGGACAACCCTGTCTGGTGCCTTTCTGTACCTTGAAGCTATCAGTCAGTTCTTTGTTTACATTCAGTTTAGCTCTTTGTTCAGAATAGATAGCTTCAATGCAGTTTCTAAAGTGTTGTCCCACTTCTATTTTTTCCATCATTTGCAGCATAAACTTCCAGTTGAGATTGTCAAATGCCTTTTCGGCATCGACAAATAAAAAAGCTACTTCTTGTTCAGGGTGTTTCTCATAATATTCAATTGCGTCCATTACTATTCTTACATTGTCTCTGATCTGTCTCTTTGGTAAAAAAACAGCTTGGTCTTCTGAAATCACTGTTTGTAAATAGTTTTTCACCCTCTCTGCGATAACTTTTGCAAAAATCTTGTAAGAGAGAGATAAAATTGTAACAGAGAGATAATGTGCCTTCTCCTAGTCTAAACAAAATTGTCTATGAGAATGAGAGATTCCTGTTCTGGACAGACCTAGAAACTGTCAAAAGCTTTGTTAACTAGCATCCACGGGGAACGAGGGTTGCTGTTAACAAAGCTTTTACCTGGCTGCAGTCCAGCGAATTGAGTGGCTCTTGCCCAAATCACTTAACTAGCTAGCAGCTGATAGCGTCTTGCAGCATCTGTCTGAGTCTCTTGGCTGCCATCACTCGGCCAGTTTCCAGCTGAGTGAGCTGGGCACTACCCAAGCAAGTCACTTGGCTAGTATGAGTGACTCAGGCAGCAAACTAGTTCACCAGGTGCCAGTTAATGAAGCTTTTATTATTATTATTATTATTTGTTCTCTTTTTCAGAGGTCAGCTACCGTGGCAGAGGTTTTGGTAAGGAAGCCACTCAGATCATGATGTCCTATGGTAAGGATGGGGGTGCTGGTGGATCTAAATAGGGAGTAACAGAAGCATGTTCATCCCTTGGCTGCTGTATATTTGTGAAGGAGGGAATCAGCAGAGAATCACTAATGGCAGAATGTAGGAAATTCTACAAAAGTCTTGCTTGTTTTTCAAGTCGCAGATTGTATAGACAACTTCTTTAAACGTTTTACAAATCAAGGGGAGGGGTATGTTTGCATGAAGATTCCAGTTATTAATTTAGGCTGTCTTCTAAATCCGTTAATCTTTCTTTACTGTAATTCCAGTGACAATTATCTTCTGCCATGTTTCAAGTCTCTTCCTTCCCTTGTGCAAAATTGGGAGTAAATTTTCTAAATGTTGCATTTTAAAATATGTCAGACTGCTGTCTGGAACAGCCAGCTTTGAATCCCCACTGTGATCTGGAAGCCAGGGAAACCCTGGGGAATGCACAAATGCACCACAATGCTATGGGAAAGCATGGAAAATAAACCGTTTCCATCAGCATTGGACAAAGGAGTGAATAACCTGTGTGGAAATGGTAATAGAAACAGCAGTTACAAGCAAGACCTTGAACAAAGAATATCTATGCACAGATCTGCATGATTCTGTCTTTTTTTTTTTTAGAAGCCTCATTAATACTACTGGTATAAGAAGTTGTGGAATCTCATTTGCCTGTGAACATTATTCACAGTGTGTTTTTTGTAGATGAGGGATGTGCTTATTTCTAATCTTTTTGTCTTATAGGAATGACACGGCTGGGACTCATCACCTTTGAGGCTAAAATAGGATTAGAAAACAAAGCCAGTATCAGGATGTTTGAAAAGCTTCATTTTAAGGAGGTGCGACAGATAATTGTCTTGTCAGCTGCATGCAAAATAGTATTTGTTCCAGAAAATGAGTTAATTTGGATTCTGTTCTGTATTGTGTAGGTGGGAGTAAACAGTGTCTTCCAAGAAGTTACTCTCAGACTAAGGGTGGATGAACAAGAGAGAGAATGGTTGCTTGAGGAAACCAGCCATGTGGATGAAAAAAATTACAATGACATGAAACTGCAGAATTGGGCTTGTAATAGCTGACAGCATTTCTGGATGCATGGGCTTCCTAACTCTCCCCCAAGACTGGATTTCAAAGCATCAGTGACAACCGAAAACACTATGAGACTGTACTGGATCAGAATTTAAACTGTTCTTCTTCTACTGTCCATACCCCCAAAGTCCAATTTCATTGCAATGAATTACTTCTTAGTTCATAGTTAATAAATAAAACTGAATACATTCAACATTTGTTTACAGTGTGAACACCATATTACATTGTATTATGTGGCTCCCTTAGGCTTCAACCCTCTCGCCATGCATGAAAACTATGCTTAAAGTACATCAGTTTGTGTTTGTACACGCACCTAATCAAAACAAAAAACACCCCACCATCTGAGCAATTCTTTCATTCCGAGAGTCAAGAAATAGTCCTGAAAACAGGAGCTTGGGGAAATAATGTACTGCTTTATATTCCCAGCTCTCCAGCAGTGATGCTTCAATGAACTCCTGAGGAACTAAATGGGAGACAGAGAAAGCACAGAAGACTCTGAGACAAGGGGTTGGAGCCAGTGGAAGGTTTCTTGGCAGGGAACTGGATTTTTTGACAATTCTCTCCCTCTGTAGTAGACCTTGACTGCCTTTCAGTACTGTTCAGGGCAAGGGCTGTCCCCTCAGGAACAGCATTTCAGAGCCATTGGGGGCCAAGGTAAGAGCACTGATGTTCCATCAGTGGAAATCTTCAGTGAATCAAAGCCTCTCTCTTTTCTTGTTCAGAAGTTTCCACAGTGTGAAATCTTATTAATGTTGTTACAGAAAACCCAGTTCTCAAGGGGATTTGGGAATAGAATGTGTGACTAATACTCATTTGGCAGTCCTTGGTCAGTAGGGCTGTTCATTCGGGTCTACCCAAGTTGAAAATATACCTGGAAAACACCTTATTGGTATTTTTCGGGTATATTTCGGCATCCCAAATTATCCAGGTTTGCTCGGGAAAACTGGAGAAAGAATCCTGAAAATATCCCAAATATATTTGGGGATTACCAGTAAATCTGAAAACAGAGGAGAGGCTGGAGCAGACTGTTCCCACCTCTCAGCGGTTTGTCAGGCTTCTACTGTAGAAGGCAGCCCGAGGAGCAAGATTGGCTGTGCCAGGGTGAGTAGACTGTTCCCACCAGCTCAGCTTGGGGCTGGCTTCTCGTGCAGCTCAGTTTAAACGAGGCTGCAGGAGAAACTGTCCCAACCAGGATCAGCATGCCTTGGGGAGTGATCTCCCCGAGGCATGCAGATCCTGGGTCTGGCTTCTCCTGCAGCGTGGTTTCAACCAGGCTGCAAGAGAAGCCAAGTCAGGCCCAGGATCAGGCTGGCCTTTTTACAAATCCAGTATTTTTCTTCTTGGGTCTATTTAGGGTTGCCAAGTCGCGGCGGGGGATTGTATGCCTTCACAGAATCCGTGCCGCAGGGACGGCGAGATGCGTTGCATCTGCTGTCCCCAGGATGTGATGCTACGCGTCGCTCTGGCAACGGGGCTCCAACGCATCACTCTGGCAACGGGGCTCCCCTCCAACGGGCCGCCATCAGCTCGCCGAAACCCCGCCCCTATAGTGTGGATTTTCAAGGGAAGGTGCTGTCATCACCAGTGGTGTCATTGATGGCATCACAGCAACCCCTCATTTTAAAAAAGGCAGCACTAAAACATTGATATATCACTGGAGCACTGTAACAATAGGCTTAACAAGTTCTCTGGATTCCCAGCTTTTTTTTTTTTTTAGTAAGTCTCTAACCCTTTCTCTTGCAGAGATATTTCATTTTCCTTATATCTCCATGAGGGAAGAAGTTAGTTTTTTGTTTTTAATGAAAGCCACAAACTCAGAGAACCTGCTAAGTCCATTGTTACAAAGCTCCAGCAATATATCAGTATTTTAGTGCCATTGTTCTAAAAAGGAAAAAGCAGTCACTCATCTTTGGGGGAGAGGGGGGAGGGAGTGGTTTGACAACAGTGGATTGGCAGTCCAATCTTTGAAAAGTGTAAGAGAGGTGGGTGGGTGGGAGTGGGAGGGACAAAGAAAACTGACAGAAACATTATGCACAAGGAAAAGGGCATTTTTGTATCTTTTCAGCTTCCAGAAAAAAACATTGAGGTAAAAGTGTTCTCAAAAGAACTGGAAAAGGCACAAAAATGTGTGCAAAAGTCAGAAGATACACTGAAGCAGTATGGGGACGGATCCAATGATAAAAACCCATGTGGAAAAGCCTTTAGAGTGATAAGATTAATTTCTCCACCACCACCTTTCTGTGGGGAATAGTCATCTTGGAGGGGGAAAGCAGCTGGCTGCCAGAAGTTTTCTTTGCTGTAAAAGTTCTAGGGTTTTTGATGATGGCCTCCCAACCCTCAATCGAAACACTATCATATATTCTTGAATAACTTTTAGTATTGACTTCAAGAAAAATAAAATGAGGTTTCAGCTAAATTTATTGAAGACCAAAAGATGGGGGTACAAGTATAGCCAGAGGCTAAGTACTACTTAGAGACAGCTGGGCCTAGATCACACTGCTTACTAAGTGCAGCTAAAAGTGTTAGGCCAGAGAGATCAGAGAAACTAAGGTTGCCATTTTCCTTCAGCTCCCAGTGGGCCCTTCCTGCTGCTATTCAGCTGGGCAGCAGAAGAAGAATGGGAGTGAAATGGAGGTGTTTGCCAGCATTTCTACACACTGATGTTACTTTCAGCACAATTGGAAGTGATGTCAGTGTGTTGTTTCAATGCTCTAGCAATCAGTCAGAATGTTAGAACATTGCACTGACATCACTTTGGGTTGTGCCAATGACTTCAGCTTATCACTAGTATATTCAAAATGGGGATGTGGTTCAGAGAGGCTGGAGAGAGTTAAGAATCCACAATGCCTCATATGATCTGGGCCTGATGCACCTCTAGTTATTTCGGATGATTAGGTTGAAACTGTCAAGGTTTCAGTTTCACTTCTCTTCGTTTTCCTTCACTGCTTACCTTGCCATATATTGGGGGGAGGGAATTCCTGAGGGGAGTGTGTGTAGGTTGAGTGCTTGCCCGTAGTAGCCATAATCATTTCTCAAGTTGCGCCCTTCGGCCTGTTCTCATGGATTTGGCCTTGGAGACTCTTTTGCCAGGCTAGAATAAAGACACCATATATCTGTCAGGGTTGTCATAGTAACAGTAGGGGCCGAGTGCTGACATATGAATGGGGTGTAGGGTGCATTGAATTTTACCTATAACCTCTGAATTTCGCACACTTTCTTCAGATCTGACAAAGATCCAGTTCCTGTAGTAAGCATATCTCTAATAAAGCATCACTGCCAAAAGTGTTGTGGAGAGTGTCTTAACTGGGGATCTGACAGTTATGTACTGAAATGGTACTGAGACCAAAGGAGCACAGTTAATTTTCCACATTTTAATTTGTTTCATGCTGGAGAAACAGGTTGTTGGCATACGCTGAGGGAGCTACATGATTTTCTTGCCTGACTTCCTCCCCTTCCCTCCACAGCAACCTCATTCCCAACAGCTTCAAATGTGTCTGTTCCTTGCGAAGGCTGATAGTTTGGGCGCAAGAGAGAATTCTCATGAGCAACATAGAAATGCTCCAATGCACCCCACCAGCTGCCTCTGCCAGCATCAAGCTACCAAACCTAGATCTCTTGTCACTAACCTGCAGTGAGTGAAATACCTTTGAGATAGATGTTTGGTCTCAGAGGTTGGAGAGTCTCTTGGTTTTGACAGCTCTCAAAGCATGTGCCTTGTCCTTTCAACCCAGTACTACCCACATGTGAAAGCTCTATGGAGAATCTTCAGAGTGCATTATCATGAATGTAATGGGGTATTTCCATTAAAGGAGGTTGTTGTGACTTGTGTATTTCGAGCAATCTTCATATCCCTGTCATATTTAATAGATACACTCATAATTTTCACTCTGTGGTGTCAGGATGTGTTTGCAGATCAGCACAAGTTTCCAGGTTAGTGAGTTCCTTCAACATTACTGTTAAACTTTCTGATTGTGCTGTGGATTAGATGTATATGTATATTAGATATACACCTGCCCTTCCTAAACTGAAGGAAAACATAGCTACTAATAAAATAGCCATGTTAATGGTTTGCAATATCTTATTCATGCTGGTGTTGCTAGTTGTCCTATCTGTGTCACACATCTACAACTGTTTAGTGCTTTTAGTCACACACACACACACACACACAAAATAAAATAAAATCCTGGGCATTGTAGTTTAGTTTAGGTAACAGTTTCTGAGAATTCTGTTAGAGATTTTTAGCCTCCCCTTGTGTTTTATGGAATTAAAATTCTCAGGGTTCCTTGCGATGAGGAAATTACAGTAAAATCGGGGTATTGGAGATCTATGTTTGGTAACAGGCCCTATATGAACACCCCGTGCCAATCTTTTCTACATTTTGGATTTTTAATTTTTAATTTTTTTTTTTGCTTATATAAAACTAAAGATAGGGCATAAGAGGGAGTGGAAGGAAGATCAAAGCTGAAAGGCTCCATACAGTGGTTCCCTTTTATGCATAGAATTGAGAAGGGATTTTTCCTTCAGCTTCGACTGGTTGATGACCTTGGTGATTTATGGCTTTACTCCCGCACCCTTGCTTGGAGCACATTCCATTGTGAATGGTGTGGGCTAATCCTGGTAGTGTCGAGTGCAGAGGATGTAGCTGGATGATATTTGGATGATTTCCAGCCTTTCAGTTTTATTTATAATTATAACATGTATGATTTTGAAACCCCACCTATTAGTAGTTCTTGGAAGCAAATGAGAAGCATGCTAGAAAACTTCCACGCTCTTTGTGTTCTATCTGAAAAAAAATTGTAATAGTTTTCTTGCCTATTCTGCAGGAATGGCACAGAATTAGATTGCAAGGCTCACCATAAATAAGAAGAATTGTGCAGAAATTAAGGGTAACACAAGCTGACGCCTTTAAATATCAGCTCAGTGTTTTCCAAGAGTTTTCTCTTACTCCTTTTCCAGCACCTGGTTTTATTTTCTCTGTGAAGGATACCCTGACAATGAGTGATGCCATTCCACAGAACTCCTATCTTACTACTGGTATCCATACCCTTGCCTCATATTCTGTTACAGCAAAGGGTACACCTATTATGGGATGGACTTGGTGGATTGTTGCTAACAACCTAGCCCACTTCCCTCCCTCAGAGGCCAGATTTTCCCTCCATTTTTTTCTTATTTTTTGACTGAGCAGCCCTATTTACCATTTTTCTTCTTTTCTGAAGAACTGTGGCTGTCTCACCCTGTTACAATATGAAATTTTGCTGCTGGCTCAGCCCAGGAACCTAAGAGAAGGGTCGAGATCCCCCTTTAACTTACACCACTGAAATGGCGCTC